TTATTCTCTTGTATACAACTGTTTATGCTTTATAAATATACACATTTTATCACTTCTCAGCCTGTGAGCTGTGACCACATGTATAAATATGTTTGTTTATTTAGCTATATTTATTATGAAACTATCCTATGCCAGGAATTTCTTTGCATACTTAGAAAAGTATGTAATGAAAAAAATAGACTTACCTTCATGAAGCTAGCCCTATAATAACAAGTAATAGACAATAGATGTCTTCCGTGTGTAATATGTAGAATAGGAGATAAAAAGCCATGAGAAAGCCGTTGGGGTGCAGATCAGTGGCTAGAGTGCTTGCCTAGCATATGTAGCTCTGACTTTAGTCTCTGGTATCACCAGTTCCCCTTTCCCCACCCAACCCAGAGCAAACAAAATCACACTTAAATGAAAAGCAGAATGCAGGTAGGTTACAGGTAAGTTGGCAAGGTAAGGGTGGATCTTACTATGACAGAGTAGTCAACAACTTCCTTTTCTTTTTCTTTTGGTTTTTCAAGACAGGGTTTCTAAGTAGCTATGGAGCCTGTCCTAGAACTCGCTCTGTAGATCAGACTGGCCTGGAACTCCCAGAGATCCACCTGCCTCTACCTCCTGAGTGCTGGGATTAAAGGTGTGCGCCACTATAACCAAGCGACTTTCTTTAGTAATAAGGATTGAGCGTAAGGTCTTGTGTATGCTAGACAAGTTCTCTATCACTGAGGTATATCCCCAGCTCTCTACCCCTGGTTTAAGATGAGGTTCTTATATTTCTCTGGTTAACTTTGAATTTATGGTACAAATGAAGATGATTTCTGATCCTGCTGCCTCAACCTCCTGGGTGCTGGAATTACAGGCATGTGCCACCATGCCTGGATTATATAAATAGGACTCCTTAAATTCTAGGCAGGCACTCTGAATGAACTGCAACTCAGCCCCCTCCAGTCCTTTATAAAAATTATGTGCATGTCATATATGTGTGTATGTGTTGAGTATGGGCACATGTGTTCATATTATGGTGCTTGTGTAGAGGTTAAGAGAAGTTAGATTACAATGTCTTGCATTGGTCCTACCTTCTACCTTGGTTTTTGTTTGTTTGTTTTTTCCCCCTGAGACAGGGTTTCTCTGAGTAAGAGTCCTAGTTGTCCTGGAACTCGCTTTGTATACCAGACTGGCCTCGAACTCACTGAGATCTGCCTGCCTCTGCCTCCTGAGTGCTGGGATTAAAATTGTATGCCGCCACAGCCCAGCCCCTTCTAATCTTGCTTGAGACAGCTTCTCTTTTTTTTGTTTGTTGTTGTGTACACCCAGCTAGTTGGCCCACCCTGGCCTGGGAGCTCCCAGCGGTTCTCCTGCCTGCCATCTTTCTTGCTGGGCCCTATTAGGAGCACTGGGGTCCCAGGCACATGCCGCTTCACCCTCTAAACCATCTCCCCAGCATACCTCTAGCTGCTTTTGAAGTTTTTGTTTAAAAAAAAAGTTGGTCGGTGTGTGTCTGTGTGTGGGGCGCTTGGAGAGTAGGTTCAGCAGTTAAGAGCATTGGTGAGTCCTCCAGAAATCCTGAGTTCAGTTCCCAGCAACCACACAGTAGCTCACAATCATCTGTAATGGGATCTGATGCCCTCTTCTCTCTGATGCTATCTTCAGAGAGAAAAAAGGTCTTGGTAGCTAGGTGGTGGTGATACATGACTTTAAACACAGTGCTTGGGAGGCAGAAGCAGGAAGATCTCTGAGTTTGAGGCCAGCCTGGTCTACAAAGCCAGGACTGTTTTGAGAAACCACCTTGAAAAAAACAGAAAGAGAAAGGGGAAAAAAAAAGGCCCTAGTAAACTGCCCAGTGATCTCAAATTTGATATCCTTCTGCCTCAGCCTCCCCAGTGTTGGCATTAAGGCCCTAACACTGCATGTGCCACCATGCCAAACAGTTTAAAGACTTTAAATTTTAAAAAATTTATTGTGTCAATGTATGATGGGGTGGGGACATGCCACAGAGAAGGAAAGAGAGAGAGTGTGTGTGTGTGTGTGAGAGAGTGTGTGTGTGTGTGTGTGAGTGAAGAGGTCAGCTCTGGTGGGTTCCCTTCTTCAACCTTTATGTGGTTTCTGGTATTAAATACAGGTTGTCAAGCTTGTGCAATAAACACTTTACCCACTGAGCTATCTTGCCCAGTTCGAAGATTTAAAAAGTGATTTCTTTATGTGTGTGGGTATGTGCACATGAATGCAGGTTGCATTGTAGATCAGAGGTGTCAGATCCTCATGGAGCTGGACTTACAAGCAGTTGTGAGCCACATGACCTGAATGCTGGGATTCTCCAGTTCTTCGCAAGAACAGTATACATGCTTAACTGCCGAGCCATATTAGTTCCCCAGTTCAAAAACTTGAAGACAGTAGGGGAGTTAAACTTGGAGAGTGTTTTGGGTAAAGGGAGTGGCTAGTGCTAATAAGTCTTGGGTGTTTGAGGAACAGCATGGAGACCACGGCTAGAATGAGTTAATAAGCAAATACAAGAGGGGTAGGATATAAAGTATGAAACTGGGGGGAGGGAATGACTGTCTCATGGCTCTGGTTAGGTATAGTAAATTGTGCTTTTATTCTGTGTGAGGTGGAAGCCATTGCACTATTTTATTTATTTATTTTTTTAGTGTTTTGGTTTTAGCCAGGGTTTCTCTTTGTAACAGTCCTAGATATCCTGGAACTCGCTCTGAAGACCAGGCTGGCTTTAACTCAGAGATCTGTCTGCCTCTGCTTCCCAAGTGCTAGAGTTAAAAGGAGTGGAATTACCACCACTAATTGCAGCATTTTCAATATAGAACTCACATGGTTTTTTTGTTTGTTTGTTTGTTTTGAGACAGGGTTTCTCTGTGTCACAACCCTCTTGTAGACCAGGCTGGCCTCAAACTCAGAGAGATCTGCCTGCCTCTGCCTCCCAAGTGCTGGGATTAAAGATGTGTGCTTCCATCGCCCAGCTGAACTCATGTGGTCTTACTCCTATTCTACTATAGTAACTAGGATTGCTGTTTTGAGAATGAGCCATCTGAAAGGCCACAGTATGGTCCAAACCGTTTAAAAGGAGGTAATGACCATACCAGGAGTGTGGCACTGGAAGTCAGAAGCCATTGAGACCTGATGCTCTCTGAAGGGATCCAGGAGGAGCGCCTCATGGAAGGCGAGTAAGAACCCCTGTAACAACTGAGTTGAGAAGGGACAGACTGCAGTTACAGAGGGTTTTAGGAAAGGGAGATGAGCTCTGTTTTGTTCCTGGTTGTTGAAATAAGAGCGGCGGGGCTGCATCCCCAGCACCCTGGCCGCCTGGCTAGCTTATGCCCGAAATAACAACACACAAACTGTATTCATTTAAACACTGCTTGACCCATTTCTATCTAGCCTCTTCTAGGCTAATTCTCACATATTAATTTAGCCCATTTCTAATCATCTGTGTAAGCACCCCAAGGTCCGCTTACCGGGAAGATTCTAGCCTATGTCCATCCTGGGTCGGAGGAGCTTCATTGCGTGCATCTGCCTGGGAGAGCGGAGCATGCCTCTCTGTCTGAGGCGTCTGGCTCTGAGAGGAGCTGCATTACTTCTGACCTCACTTCCTCTTCCTCCCAGCATTCTCTTCTGTTTACTCCACCCACCTATGTTCTAACCAATAAAATGGGCCAAGCCAGTTTCTTTATTAGCCAATGATCTTCCTCCATCACCTGGTGAATAAGCTGGTGGGGTGTGTGTCTGGTGTTGAGCAAAAGAGAACAGAGGCCTGAGTCTTGAGACTGCAAACCTGGGAGAGTCGGCGATGGACCCTTAGAGCAGATTGAAAAAGGAAGGTGAGGAGAGTGGTGTTTAGGGACAGATGAAGGGAAAATACCAAGGAAGTTTAACAGTTCTTTTCCACCTCCTGGAGCAGTGGTTCTCAGGTCGCAACCCATTTAAGGGGTTTAAAGACCCTTTCACAGGGATTATCTAAGACCATCTGCATATCAGATATTTATTTACATTACAATTCATAACGGTAGCAAATTACAGGTATGAAGTAGCCAGGAAAAAAATTTTGTGGTTGGTGGTTATCAAGACTTGAGGAACTGTATTGAAGGGTCAAAGTTTTAGGAAGGCAAAAACCACTGTCCAAGAGGATTGTGATGTAATTATAGTCCTCTTGGGAACCAGTGCTTTTCTTATAATATATACTGATGGTGGCGCACGCCTTTAATCCTAGCACTCGGTATTAAAAAAACTAAAAAAAGATGAAAACACACACACACACAAACACACAAAAAACTGGTTTCAAATTCAGTGTGGATGATGGAAGTCTGTGCTCTGTAGGTGGGTCAATGATGACCATGGTTGCACAGCAGTGGGATTGCATTTAATGTCACTGAGTTGTGCACTTAATGGACAGACTGCAAACAAAACCCATGTCTTTCTCTTGACTCAGGATGAGACCCTGAACAGAACATACTGTTACTGTTTTTTTTAAAAATATTTATTTATTTATTATGTATACAATATTCTGTCTGTGTGTATGCCTGCAGACCAGAAGAGGGCACCAGACCCCATTACAGATGGTTGTGAGCCACCATGTGGTTGCTGGGAATTGAACTCAGGACCTTTGGAAGAGCAGGCAATGCTCTTAACCACTGAGCCATCTCTCCAGCCCCCTGTTACTGTTTTTTCTGATCCTTTTTATTTATTTTTCTTTTGGTTTTTTTGAGACAGGGTTTCTCTGTAGCTTTGGAGCCTGTCCTGGATCTAGCTCTTGTAGACCAGGCTAGCCTCGAACTCACAGAGATCTGCCTGCCTCTGGGCTTAAAGGCGTGCGCCTCCACCGCCCGGCCTGTAGGGGAGTTTATGTACACAGGATAGTGGGTGGAGGAGACCAATGCTGCATCACTTAACAAAGTTCTCATCTGCCTGTTACCTTCCAGTAGTGTGCATGATGGGGGCACACAGCAGGAAACACTGACTTGCCAGGTGTTTCGATTTCCTTTCTTGATTCTCTATCTTCTTTTTCTTAGGACAGAACAATAAGCTAAGCAGACTCTGACCATTGGCCTTCCACTAGCCAGAATCAACCTAGCACTCATTTTGTGGTCCATGAGCTGCATCGTCTGCCATCAGTGTGCAACTGGCCCCCAACGCAATGTGTGTTTGTCAAACCATGGAAGTGGGGCAGTATGGCAAGAACGCAAGTCGGGCTGGAGACCGAGGAGTCCTCCTGGAGCCCTTCATCCATCAGGTGGGCGGACACAGCAGCATGATGCGGTACGACGATCACACTGTGTGCAAACCTCTCATCTCCCGGGAACAGCGCTTCTACGAGTCTCTCCCTCCTGAAATGAAAGAATTCACCCCTGAATACAAAGGTTAGTCAGTGTTCTTTTTGAGAGACTAGCAACCTTTGACTGACAGGCTTTGGCTCAGTTGTCCTTGTTTTGTTTACCCTGTGATGTGGTTGTAGTTCTCTGTTATCTCAATTTTGTTAGGCAAAATTAGAAACTAAAATTATCAGGTTTTTAGATTATGAAAATTGAATTGATAGTAAAGCTAAGAAAAATTGATAGCAGGAAGACCCACTGGTAGAGAAAAGCCTATTGTCAAGAAGTCTCTTGTTTGCCACACAGGGGAGAAGGGGGCAGTTCTTTGGTCCTAAGGAGTATAGAGGCATACTTTGCAGACTTTAAAGTGATTGGACAGCTGACAAGGGCATGGTGTGGTGCTGTGTCTGTGTGTGCTGGAGAAATATGTTTATGGAGTATTCTGGAGCCCTGAAATTTTTAACATTTGAAGCTGTTTTAAGATAAGAGCTAATTTTGTAGAACACAGAGAACCCCATGACTTGGAGTCAGGCCACTTTAACGTCTCATCTTTGCACTCTGTGTGTACATTAATTTATGATCTGGTCAGGTTTTTTTGAGGGGGGGCAGGGTGGTTTGGTTTTTCAAGATAGGGTTTAGCTGTAGCTTTTTGAAGCCTGTCCTGGAACTAGCTCTGTAAAACAGGCTGGCCTCGAACTCACAGAGATCCGCCTGCCTCTGCCTCCCTAGTGCTGGAATTAAAAGTTTGTACCATCACCGCCTGGCTGTGTTTTTTTTTAAGTAATTAATTATTTTTTTCCATGATATTTATTGAGCTCTACATTTTTCTCTGCTCCCCTCCCTGCCTTTCCCCTCCCTGCTTTAATCCTCCCCCAAGGTCCCCATGCTCCCAATTTACTCAGGAATCTTGTCTTTTTCTGCTTTCTACTTCCCATGTAGATTATATCTGTGTAAGTCTCTCTTATGTCCTCATTGTTGTCTGAGTTCTCTGGGATTGTTGGTTTGTAGGCTGGCTTTCTTTGCTTTATGTTTAAAAACCACCTATGAGTGAGTACATATGAAAGTTGTCTTTCTATGTCTGGGTTACCTCACTCAAAATAATGTTTTCTAGCTCCATCCATTTTCCTGCAAAATTCAAGCTGTTATTTTCTTCTGCTGTGTAGTACTCCATTGTGTAAATGTACCACATTTTCCTTATCCATTCTTTGATTGAGGGACATTTAGGTTGTTTCCAGGTTCTGGCTATGGCAAACAAAGCTGCTATGAACATAGTTGAGCACATGTCCTTGTGGCACGATTGAGCATCCTTTGGATATATACCCAAAAGTGGTATTATTGGATCTTGAGGAGGGTTGTTTCCTGATTTTCTGAGAAATCGCAACACTGACATCCAAAGGGGTTGTGCCAGCTTGCATTCCCACCAGCAATGCATAAAACAAAATTTAAAGCAGAACATTTATTTGTATGGTGTAGACACTCTTGTGTCATGGCATACAGAGGGCAGCTTTGAGGAACTGCTTCTCTCCTGCTGCCACACAGGTTCCAGGAGTTGAGATCATGCCATCAAACCTGGCCACAGGTGCCTTCACTCGCTGAACTACCTCAGACGCCTCTTGAAAATTTTTGATGAGGGCTGGAGAGATGGCTTGATGCTTACGAGTTCTTGCTGCTCTTTTAGAGGACCTCGGTTCAATTCCCAGATTCAGAAGATCTGACACCCTCTTTTGGCCTTTGTGGGTACTGCATGCATGTGGTATATAGACATGCACTCAGGCACAAACACATACATAAAATAAAATAAAATAAAATAAACTGGCGGGTTAGCACATTCATGTTGCTTCCATCTTTTGACTATTATAAATAATGCAGTCGCATACAAAGATCTGAGTCCTGCTCAGAACTGAGACCTGCTTGGTTCTGATGTGCATACTTAAGATTGTGTGCAGGTCTATATTTACCTTTTTTGGTTTTTGGTGGTGGTGGTGGTGTTTTTTTTTTTTTTTTTTTTGGTGGTTTTTCGAGACAGGGTTTCTCTGTAGCTCTGGTGCCTGTCCTGGAACTAGCTCTTGTAGACCAGGCTGGCCTCAAAATCCCAGAGATCCGCCTGCCTCTGCCTCCCGAGTGCTGGGATTAAAGGCATGCACCACTGCCTGGCGTGGTGGTGGTTTTTTTTTTAACAGTACCGGGGATTGAATGAAGGACTTTGAATGGACTAGCTGAAAACTCTATCACTGAATCATATCTCTGTTCTGTCCTTTGTTTTCCCTCTCTGTTGAAATAGGAGCGGCGGGGCTGCGTCCCCAGCACCCCAGCCGCCTGCTAGCTTATGCCCGAAATAACAACACACAAACTGTATTCATTTAAAGACTGCTTGGCCCATTTCTATCTAGCCTCTTCTAGGCTAATTCTCACATATTAATTTAGCCCATTTCTAATCATCTGTGTAAGCACCCCAAGGTCCGCTTACCGGGAAGATTCTAGCCTACGTCCATCTTGGGTCGGAGCTGCCTGGGAGAGCAAAGCAGGGCCTCTGCTCCAGAGAGCAGAGCTGTAGGGTCTTTCCAGGAGCAGAGCAGAGTCTGAGCTCACTTCCTCTTCCTCCCAGCATCCTATTCTGTTTACTCCTCCCATCTTCCTCCTGTTTACTCCTCCCACCTATGTTTTAACCTATCAGGGCAAGCAGTTTCTTTATTTAATTAACCAATGAAATCAACAGATTGATATATGACACTCCCACATCACCTCTCTTTTTCTCTCTCTCTCTCTCTTTCGAGACAGGGTTTCTCTGTGTAGCTTTGGAGCCTGTCCTGGAACTAGCTCTTGTAGACCAGACTGGCCTCGAACTCACAGGGATCTGCCTGCCTCTGCCTCCCAAGTACTGAGATTAAAGGCGAGTGCCACTACCACCCGGCTTCCTTTGTTTGGTTTTTGAGAATGCTAGGATGCATTCTGCTAGCTGATCTATATCTTTAGAGCCTGGTTTTTAAGACTATCCCAGTTTGGGGCTTTATGATGGCAGTTTGTTTTTACCTCTGTGTTTACTTATACATTGGATTGTGTTTCTTCGTGTCTGCAACTCTCCACACCCCTCAGACACTCGTTGATCATCCTTTGCTAAATGCTCTGTTTTGGAGACATCATTTGCAATTATAGAACCTTAATTTAGTTTCTTCACAGTACTTCTTGAAATCTGTAATTGTTTTGTACATGTTTATTTACTTGTCAAAAGCAAAAGCTAAAGATAGATGTGGAAGGAAGTGTCTTCCTCATGACAGAGGCATCCATGACTTCCTTCTTTCATACCAAGGACTGAGATAGGTCGTCTGCGCTCGTCCATGTCTTTTTTTTTTTTTTTTTTTTTTTTGGTTTTTCAAGACAGGGTTTCTCTGTGGGTTTTGGAGCCTGTCCTGGAACTAGCTCTTGTAGACCAGGCTGGTCTCGAACTCACAGAGATCTGCCTGCCTCTGCCTCTGGGAGTGCTGGGATTAAAGGCGTGCGCCACCACCGCCATGTCTTGTCAGCACTTTACTGGGAGTGCTGGCCTGTACAGGTCCATCTGAATTGGAAAGGAAAATGTAAAACTGCATTTGCAACAAACATTCAGCTAAAGTATTACTTGAACAAAGGATTCAGAAAATCAGTGTCCCGGAAATTTCTTAGGGGATTCCTTGAAGATACATTTTAACTACACAAAGAATAAATCAAGATGGGAAAACTAGAGACTGATAGAAAGAATGATTCTTCTCTGGAAGTGTGTGATAGTGCTGGGGACAGTCAAGGTTAGAGTGTGAGGGAACTCCTAGAATATAAGACTGTAGACTGGAGGGTGTTCAACCATGAACCAATTCAAAAGGCAGTGGTGACAGCTTGCCCGAGAGACAGTCATATAATACACATGGACAGGTTGTACATGTGAAACCTGAGGAGTGAGCGTGAGCAAGATGTAAGATGTAAGGAGGAAGTATCCTTTCCTTTGATTTTGGAAGGATTTTTCTTCTACGAGGACGCAGAGCTGGCCTAGAAAAGGAAATGAGTGGAAGAGAACACTTGTGGTTGGCGTATTGACGTGCTGTAGTGCGTCTCACTCTTTGCAGATTATGGGGCCAGTTGTGTACAGCAAGAGGGTAAAAGTAGACATGTAGTTGATGGGCATGATCCAGGTAGGATATGAAAATTCTGCAGAGAGCAGCTTTATTGTTGGGTTTTCATTCTTAAAAAAACTTCATTATATTTCTGGGTATTGTTTCTGTTTTATCTCTTTTGGTAATGATCTGGAAGAAACAGATTGGTTGACAAGTGGCAGAGATGCTGGAGAGGTGGCTCGGCAGTTGAGCAGCTCTTTCCTGCAGACCCAGGCTTGGTTCCCATTACATCATGAAGGCTCACGCCTGCCTGGAACTCCAATTCCAGGGGGTTCCATGCCCTGTCCTGGCTTTGTGTGATACATGTACACATATGTAAGCAAAATACGTAAAAACTAAAAGTACAAGTTGGGAAGTGGTGGTGCATACATTTAATCCTAGCCCTTGGGAAGCAGAAGCAGATGGATCTCTGGGACCTGTGGTTGGAAGAGGCCAGAGTTACATAGTGAGAGTTAAAAGGAGACATGGTTGAGGGTTGAGCACAGCTGTAACCCTCACACTTGGGAAGCAGAGGCTGGAAGAACAGTTTAAGGCTATCATCCACTTCATAGTGCGTTTGAGGTCCACCTGGGCTACCCAACGAAAATGAAGCAATGAGAGAGAAGAAATTGCTCCATGAGATATAGCAGGAAAACACAGAAAGGTATTTCACCATAGAGATTCCAGGGTAGACTCTAGGAAAGCACTGTGTTCAGGGTGGGAAAGAAATACTTCATATGAGCGCTGTCTTGGAGACAGTTTGTTTCTTCAGTTACACTGTTGAGGCAGAAGGAAAACAGATCTATTGATGTCACTGACAAGGGTGGGATCATCTTAAAGCTGTTGAATAGAAAGAGGGTTAAAATTTTTTCATAAAGTGTCTTTTGGAAAAACACAGGGTTTCTTTGTGTAGCTCTGGCTGTTCTGGAACTCTGTAGACCAGGCTGGCCTTGAATTCACAGAGATCCACCTGCCTCTACCTTTTGAGTACTGGGTCTAAAGGTGTGCGCCAACAACCACACTTTGAAAAATATTTTTTGCTTTATACGCGTATGAGTGTTGCTGTGTATGTTGTCTGTGTACCGCATGCATCCCTGGTGCCTATGGAGAGGTGGAGGTGGGATTAGATCCCCTGGGGCCGAAGTTAACAGATGGTTGTGAGCTGCCACCATGTGAGTGCCGGGTACTCTGAAAGAGCAGCAATTGCTTTTGACTGCTGAGCCATGTCCTTGCCCTCTAGAGCATTAAAATTTGTCTGGTTCAATGTCACCTAGAGATTCTTTGTGAGTGGTACAGAAGTCGATAACTGAAAGCAGAAGGGAGAAGTAAAAGAGTAGAAAATAGTTACAGATTTATCCTCAAAGGTAAGCAGCAGATAGAGGATAAAGATGGTTGTCTGTCTTTGCTGCAAACTGGATGTCTGCTGGCTATTATCCCTAGAGGATTTACAGTTCAGTCAGAAGAGGTGATGGCCTACACAGACCCCCACCAGTGGTGGTATTTGTTAACCAGCTGCTTTTTCTCCCAACAGGTGTGGTTTCTGTCTGTTTTGAGGGAGACAGTGATGGTTACATCAACTTGGTAGCCTACCCTTACGTGGAGAGTGAGACTGTAGAGCAAGATGACACACCAGAACGGGAGCAACCTCGGCGTAAACACTCCCGCCGGAGCCTGCATCGGTCAGGCAGTGGTAGTGACCACAAGGAGGAGAAAGCCAGCCTGTCCTTTGAGACCTTTGAGAGGTAAGTGGATAGTATGCAGAGCTATTGGCACATGTTAGATCCTAATGATACACACAGGATAGTGTTGGAGTCCTGACACATGATGAGAAAGGAGTTCTCAACAATAGGATGGTGGGCTGGGGGTGACTGGTGTTCATGGGGCCACTCCCGCAGATATGGCGTCCTTTATGGTCCTCCACCATGGTGAGTATGGCTAAACCCAGTGAGACTGAAGCTCTGTCAGCACTTTAGAAGCAGGGATACCCTATGCTAATGGCGATAGATTATTTAGCTTTCATACTCAGAAGTCAGAAGTTGAATTGCACCGACCGCTACTTTCTTGCTTTACAGGATGTCTGAGTGTGGAGTGGTGATAGTTCATACGGACTAGGGAGTACCCTAGTGGCTTTTTATTAACATTGGGAATTGATTTTTTTCAGGCTTATGTCTCTCTTTTTCCTTTTTCTTTTTGTTTGGTTTGTCTTGTATTTTGAGACAGGGTTTCTCTGTGCAACAACTTTAGCTGTTCTGGACTTGCTCTGTAGACGAGACTGGATTATGTCTCTATTTCATGCAAGCATTAGTTAATTTCTACTGGGCTGTGTATAATCCAAAGGATAGACAATAAAGTGTTGACAATCGAAGCATGGTGATGCCTGCTTGTAATCCTAGCACTCAGAAAACTGAGGCAAGAGGATCATTGTGTGTTTGAACACAGCCTGTGTTGTGTAACAAGTTCTAGAATAACAAGTTAGGAAAGAAAAAAGGGGGCGGGGGGATTTAAGTGTCCTTCCTGCACTTCTGGAAGAACCAAGTTTGTTTTTTTTTGTTTTGTTTTGTTTTCCGAGACAGGGTTTCTCTGTAGCTTTAGATCCTGTCCTGGAACTAGCTCTTGTAGACCAGGCTGGCCTCAAACTCACAGAGATCTGCCTACCTCTGCCTCCCGAGTGCTGGGGTTAAAGGTGTGCACCACCACCGCCTGGCTGGGAAGTGGGCTTTTCTTTTTGTCTTTTTGTTTGTTTGTTTTTTTAAAGATTTATTTTATATATACAACTGCTCTGTCTACATGTACCCCTGCAGGCCAGAAGAGGACATCAGATTTTTATTACAGATGGTTGTAAGCTAGGAATTGAACTCAGGACCTCTGGAAGATCAGTCAGTGCTCTTAACTGCTGAGCCATCTCTCTAGGCCCATAAGGGAGTTTTTAGATGGGGCAGTAAACATTTCATCCCTGGCATCAGATCACTTCACTGGCACATGCTGTCTACATGAGCTCCCAGAGGCTTGTTCAGGGACCAGGGCAGTCCAGTCTCCTTACTTTGGCTTTAAGAGGTCCTCTTCATGTTCATACTGAACCTTTTGTGCTTGTTTCTCCCCTGACCTTTGGGCTATGTCTACATCTGTGTTCAAGGAGAGGGCTGCACATCCATACCCTAGTTGAGATACATGTCTTGGTGTTGGATATTCTGAGGGCTTCTGTCTGCAGTGCAAGAGCACTTCCTTGATTTCATCTCCACCATCCACAGGGGCTTCCTACTGACCAACTACTGTGGGGCCTGAGTCAAGCATTTGGGTGACAGAACATTCCAGTCAGTAGCTAGCAACTGACAACTCTCATTTAGCACTTTTTAGAGGGGGAGTTGTTCTCCAAGGTGAGAGCATTTGCTTTATGACTCATGGGTGAAAAGCCAGTGAATGTAGTAGATTTAGCATCAGGGTCTGCTGTCAAGGTGTCAGCTCTGTCTGTATTGACTGGGCTCTATCTGGCCTGTTAGCAGAGATTCTGAGTCATAGCAAAGGTGGACATCACTCACGAGGGCCAGGACTATGACTCCAGAGGTAATGCCAAGTACTACAGGGCTCCATCCAGACCTGTAGCTTGTCTGGGTTTACTTGGCAAGTGTTTGCTAGAGTGGACTGCGTCTGCTCTTGGGAAGTGGGGCACAGGTAACAGGCATTGTTGGACTCCTGTCGTTTAGTTCAGGAAAAATAGTATCCCAGATGCTTGGTGCTCAGAGGAGGGGCAGCATTTTCAGTACACACTAGACTGTTGGTGGTGTGTGTCATCCACAGTTGGAGAGAAGGCCAGCATTTCTGGATGGTAACATCTGCAATTGCAGTGGTGCTCTGCCCCTGCTGCATGCCACAGACTTGCGCTACAGTCTCTAGAGTGTATGGCTTCACTAGCAGGGAGCTTTTGTGAACGCGTGAGTGTGAAAAGTTATATTGCCAGGCTTGTCTGGACCTCACTATGTAACCTTGAGCTTCTCCATCCTCCTCCCCCTATCTCCTGTCAGGATTACAGGCATGCATTACCATGCCTGGTAGGGATCGAGCCCATGGCCTTATGGTAGGCAAGCCCTCTACTGACTAAAGTACAGCTTTAGCCCTTGCTTGTAGTTGATTTGAATATATACCTAAATGGGAAATTACAGTCAAATAATCTTCTTTAACTCCAGGAGTTTTTTTTCAGGCACCACTCCCCATTTGTGTGTGTATGTGTGTGGGTGGGTGGGTGTGCATGTGAGTGTGAATGCATTTGGAGGCCAGAGGTGACATCAGAAATCATTCTTAACCACTCTTCTACCTTATTCATCGAGGAGTGTCTCTCAGATTCAGAGCTCACTAGTTCACCAGTATGGTTAGTCTTGATGCTCATACTCAGCTTGCTCTGGGGATCCCCTGTGTATTAGTCAGAATTCTCTGGAAGAACAGAACTAATAGAACTGGTGTGTGTGTGTATGTGTGTGTGTAACACACACACACATATAACATATGTTTATATATATGGCGATTTATTAGAGTAGCTTACCAAATGTGGTCCAGCCGCTCCAACAATGGCTATCTACCAATAGAAAGTTAGAGACTCCAGTAATTGTTTAGTCCATGAGTCCATGTGTCTCAGTTTGTCTTCACTATATGCCAGAATCCTGAAGTAGGCTCTGATGCCAGTGAAGTAATGAAGTTGTCAGCTAGAGTGAGGGTAAGCAGGCATAGAGCAAAAGCTTCCTTCTTCCATGTCCTTTATATAGGTTCCCAGCAGACAGTCCAGGCCTGATTAAAAGTGGATCTTCCCACTTAAAATGATTTAAAAACAGTCCCTCACGGGTGTACCTGGCTGCTTAGGTTTATAGTTCATTTCAGATACAGTCAGATTGACAATCAAGAATAGCCATCACATCTTGTCTTTGTCTTCTGAAGGTTGGAATTCCAGCCTAGGTACTGCACTCAACCAGCCTAACGCAGCTCTGGGATCCAAACCCCAGTTCTCTCACTTGTGTGGTGAGTGTTTTAACACTGAACCATCTTTTTCGTTTGTTTTGTGTTTCAAGACAGGGTTCCTCTGTGTAGTTCTGGCTGTCCTGGAACTAGCTTTGTAGACCTGGCTGACCTCAAACTCACAGAGATCCTCTTGCCTCTGCTTCCTTAGTGCTGGGATTAAAGTTATGTGCCACCACCGCCTGGCTAATAACTTGAGCCATCTTTACCGCTAAGCCAATCCTGTTTTTTAAGTAGGATTTTCTCTGTGTTGTCCATGCTCTTCTGGTCTCAGACTTCCTGTGCTCAAGCAATTCTGCCACATTAGTCTCCTGAGCGTCTGGGACTTCTGGCTCTGTACCTGTCCTGTGCAGACACCAAAGTACTTTTTTAGGGGCTGTACTTGTTCATATTCGAACCAGCAGTGTACAAGGAAGGGCTTCAGCTTCTTTACATTCTGCATGGCACTTGTTCTAGTTTCTTCTCTTTTTTTGAAGATTTATTTATATTTTATTATTTTGGATATATA